TTCCGACTGCTGGCTGTGAGCAGCGGCAGGCTCATGAATAGGAGGGATCAGCAGTCCCAGGGGATCTTGTCAGTCGGCTCAGTGATTGTTTCTGTACAAGCCCCAGTGTTCCGTGGATGCTGAAGCAGTTTTTCTAAGGGAGCGTTCTGTTCCATTAGTTCATCAGATCCGATTACAGCCCCGCCCTTCACGGGCATTGTTTGCCTAGCTGTGTAACACCTTCACATACAAATTAGTCAAACACTTYCACTCAGATACTAACGAGGTCTCCTCTGACCTCCCTTTTGTACATGTATTTGCTGCTTCAGTCTATCAAGTGTAGCCAAGTTGCATAAATTTGACTGCAAAAACAACAGAAGAAARGTAAAATGAGGAAATTTTATCACAAATGCTCTTTTTACCATCGAACCACTGGGTGTCAGTGTACTCGTTTTCATGGCAGTGCAGCTGGTTTTAACCATCCTTCTTTGTTGGGACTCTCCACGTTCTCCTTCAGGTCTGTATTTCAGAATAAATATTTTGCTTCCACTGGCTGTTTCAGGATATTATCAACTCGGTGATTGCAGCATTGTTCCTCCTCGTTGTGTGCTTGTTTGCAATAATAATGAGGACCAACAAGGGGACATTGGCTGGAGGAGTAAGTAGGAACATCGTTTATGAATTTCAGTCATTAAAGAGCACATGATTTGAACCTCTTGGTACACTTACATTGTGGTAAGACCATGCAAACAGCTGTCTTGGAAGAACACACTCAGCAGTAGCAAACAAAGATACACTGAATGTATCTCACTAAAAGAAAATAATCTTCAAATCACTAATAATATAAAGATATTACAAGACTTACAAATTACTACAGAGAAGTACTGAAACACTGACAATTTCTAGAATTTTTAAGTAACCTATATTTGCTTCYGTAGCTTGAAATGCCAGGTGGGAGAATCCATAGCTCTTTTAGGACTATCCAATTTGGTTACACTATTTAGGGAGAAATGCCAACAGTCCTGCTAAATAGAGCTGAAACTTTTTAACAAGCATACTGGCACCTCCCTCCTGACATGGATATTGTTTTTTCTGACACAATCTGAGGAATTATGTCAGTTGAAAACGGTTTATTTTCGTACTACGATTGTAAGAATTTTGTGTTCTTAAGATCAAACCAGTTTAATAGTTTAAGCAACTGGTATTTTTAATTCAAATGGAAACTAATGAAATTAACATTAATAAACAGTGAAGAGGGAAAAAGCACTGTTTTGAAAGTTTTCAGAAATACAAGATAAGCTGAAATGTGACAAGCARTCAAAAGAAACCTAAAACCTTCTATAGGCGTCATTCACAGTCAGCTTAGGAGACAGTGAGATGGAAAGCTGATGGCTTCACTGGCAATGGCATCCTAAACAAAAAGAAGACTTTGTGATCAAGTGTGCTGGAATAGAATTTATATTCTCRGCTATGAAGTTCATAGAAATTAAAGGTGGGAGCAGGAGACTAAGCAGGTTCCTGGAAACACAAGTTTGGGTGGAACATGTACACCCGCAGTGCTGGAAGAGACAGAATCACCCCCAGCCTGCTCTTTTGAGGCACAAACTGCCTTGTGTCCTCCCAAGAGCTCTCCTGAAAGTAACTCCCCATATCAGATAATTCAGTACTTGCATAAAAACCCATGTGTGCATGTGGGACGGGGCTGAAGGGCAGGAGCTGAGCAAGTTAGCTCAGTGACTCTACTACAAACACATTTTCCCTGAGGTTACTTGCCTGAGGTTGTCTGTTTTTTAAATACTTTTGTACATTTTCTTCAATTTGGAATAAGTTTCCTGTTCAGAGCTTCAGAGGAGAAGAGCATTTTCCTGTTGGGCTTGTTTGTACGAATGCTGACTTTTCTTGACTTTCCTCAGGGCCAGTCCCAGTAATTAAGCAACCCTTAAAGGGACAGAAGGGCTTTCATTTAGGATAAATGCATTGTCTGGCATAATGCAGCATTAGCTTAGCTTTCAAGGAGAGAGAGCACCACACCATCTCCAAGGCCTCATACAAACATGAAAGCAGGCTGCAGACAGCTTTGTGAAGGGCTGATGTGATGTAAATGTGTTATTTATCAGCTGTCTCAAATCATACACAATTCCAAGGCCAGAACCAAGTTAGGAAGATGTGTTTACTGCTACCTTGATGAGTCACTACAGTAAAAGCTCGAGATTGATTGGGTGAACTAATTTTATGGTTGTTTTTATAGGTGTTGGGTCTTGTATTGCTTGTTCTCTGCCTTGTCGACGCGCTTCTTCTTTGCAAGACAATGAACTTTGGTAAAGCAAGAGGAAGGAGTGCTGCCAAATAAGATTGACATGTTAGTGAAGGAATAATCTCTCCATTCTGTTTCCCCACTCTCTTTTAAAGGATTTGTATTTTCAGGTGCTCACCTTTGAATTTCCTGTGCCCTGATGTTTTTGCAAGTATAGTTCAATAAGGTTTCGTACTTTTCCTAATGCAGTTTCAGCGCTGCAATTTCACCAGTTAAAGCTTTAGAGAAAATTGTTCTGTTTTTCTAAACTTAATTACATTTTTACCTGTATGAAAATTATTTTCATGACTGCCTTCTTGGTCTAATAAAAAGAAAATACAGGCTTATGTGTGTTGTTTAATATTTATTTAATAAGTGTAAAAATGCTCGTTAGAGTGAGTTTACATTTTAAAGCAAAAATTAAGAATTAAAGTTTTTTTAAAAAAAAAATTTAAGTAAGAAATAAAGTACACATCCTTCGGAAAGATTTTCTCTTGCCATGCGAAGGCGTGTTAAAGCATTCGCCGAGGCATTTGGAACCTGAAAATTCACCCTGGAGTGGCGTTTGGCCTGGGTGAGCTCCAGCGGCCCCTTTCGACCCCAGCAGCCCGGTGCTTCTGTGCTTTGTGTGTTCCGAATGGCARTGACAAGAATCGCCCTGGCTCGCTGGTGTCGGTCCGGCAGGACGGGACGGGACAGGGCGAAGGTGACAGCCCTGCCCCATTGTCCCTGTCCCGGGGCTGGGGGCGGGCGCTGGGGCCGCCCCCCACAGCTGGGGATGCTGAAACTTTTTTTTCACGTTTCCGCAGTGTCACGATTTCCGCTTCCCTCCTTCAGAGAGAAAACGAAAAAAAAAAAAAAAATCCACGGCCAACCCCCTACCCCGAGCCTGAGCCCGCGCCCCGCCCGAGCCCGGCCCGAGCCCGTCTGGAGCCCGGCCCGAGCTCAGCCCGAGCTCAGCCCCAACCCGAGCTCAGACCGAGCCCAGCCCCGGCCCAGCCCCGGCTCAGCCCCAGCTCAGTCCCAGCCCCATCCCAGCCCCGTCCCAGCCCCATCCCCATCCCACCCAGCACCCACCCACCCCGCCGCAGCCATGGAGGAGGACCCCGAGACCGCGGAGAGTGCGCCGCCGCCCGAGCTGCACACCGTGCTCCCCCACATCGGGTTCGTGCGCTCCCGCAAGGGGAAGCTGCTGCTCGCCGAGTCGGTAGGGACGGGACACCGTGGCCGGGGGATTGCGGGARCCACCCCCGGGGCCGGCCGGGACCCGAGCAGCTTCGGCCAGAGCGCCCTGCCCGGGCCGCTCCGCTGTGCGGCTGAGGGGAGAAGGGGCAGCAACCGAAGGGAGACGGGAACGCCAGCCGAGGGGAGAGAAGGACAGCAACTGAGGGGAAAACTGGGGGAAAACAACCGAGGGGAGACGGGCACAGCAACTGAGGGGAAAACTGGGGGAAAACAACCGAGGGGAGAGTGGGACAGCAACTGAGGGGAAAACTGGGGGAAAACAACCGAGGGGCGAGGGGGAGAGCAACTAAGGGGAAAACTGGGGGAAAACAACCGAGGGGAGAGGGGGAGAGCAACTGAGGGGAAAACTGGGGCAAAACAACCGAGGGGACAGTGGGACAGCAAATGAGGGGAAAACTGGGGGAAAACAACCGAAGGGAGATGGGAAACGACAGCCGAGGGGAGAGAGGGACAGCAACAGAGGTGAAAACTGGGGGGAAACAGCCGAGGGGAGAGGGGCACAGCAACTGAGGGGAAAACTGGGGGAAAACAGCCGACGAGAGACGGGGAGCAACAACTGAGGGAAAAAAATGGGAGAACAACCGAGGGGTAAAAGGGGAAACAGCCATACCGGAGTGGGGGAACTGCTGTGCTGGGAGCGCCATGAATTTAGCGTAATTCAGGCAGAGCGCGTTCGAAACCAGAAATTGTAACGTTGGACTTTCAGTGCCTAAAGTGTGTTTTGCTATTGGGGACCCCTTCTCCCTAAAAAAAAGGCTTTAATTTTGTTTAAAGCTATTTGCAGTGTGAATTCCAGTGACCACTACGGCTGCTGTTTGCATTATCCCCTAGTGCCAGGTTAGGAGGCAGCTTGGCCTGAGTGTGTCAGGAAAGACTTTACTAATGAATGTCAGGCTGTGCATCMCGGTCACTCAGCTGCTGTGCCGAGCCCTCCAAAGCTGTGCTTTCCTCAGAGGGATGCTCTCRCTCACCACTGTGGAGCGCTTGGGCTGGAGAGCTGCCCAGGGGAAAGGCCCTGCAGAGCTGTGACAGCCGCTGGACACCAGCCCAGGTGGGCACAAAGCCAAGGGCACCTGGCCTGGATCAGCAATAGTGTGGCAGCAGGACAGGGCAGTGGCTGTGGTGTGAGACTTCCTGGAATTTTACGTGTAAAGACTTAAAATCTGACAGCTGAAATAATCCCCGCGTGATGGGGAAAGAGATCACTCACCCCATGGAGAGTGAGTATTTCACAACAAAATTTAACTTCTGGATAGGAAGCTCGCTGATTGAAATTAGAGGTTCAACATKATTTTTGCTAGAAATAATGATAAATTCAAACATTAAATTTGCTGGCATTTTAGCTGGAGTTTTGGCAGCTGATAATCAAATATCTAGTAGGCAAGTCTGTGGGGCACTGTTTTGTCAGGTGTCTCTGGCTACCCAGTGTGCTAGCTCAGGAAAGGAAACAAGGATATTCCAGCAAAATAAGGGTAAGGAACAGGCAGAAGGAGGCAAAATTGTCTGTAGCCAGCTGGTAGAGACCAGCCCTGAGAGGTCATGAGGCTGTGGATACTGCCTTGTGGCTGAGAGACAGGGAACAGCCAGATGTGAGGCTGCCTTTGAGAGGGAAAGCACTCGCTCAGGAGGGCAGGATGACTTTTGTGGGGGGGGAGAGCCTCGGGCTGGGTAGCAGCAGGTTGTGGGCTTTATCAGCTCCATTAAAAAAATTCCAGCAGCCCCATCTCCCCTCCAGGTACCCCCCTCACTCACACAGTATCTGTAGGTTACAACCACACATTTAGAAAATACCAGAGCCCAGCTAACCTGGYTCCTCTGGCACGTATTTTTGTTACATACTATAACACACACTGGAATTTCCTTTACAAGCTTACAGCCGCTAAATGATGGCTTTCATACAGCCTGGCTTTTTAGCAYCTCAGAATGATGACATATTGGAGGAATACTGTTCTGGTCATGGGATCAGACTCACCCTTTTGTTGTCATAGAGAAGTACTGATTATGCCTCCTTGGAGTAAATAAAAACTTCTCTGTCTTGACAAAATAGGGATTTATCCTTTGTAAGGCCACTCAGAGCTTCCCAAGGGCTTGGCTGGCTGAAAGCAGCCCTGAAATCCCATCTGCCGAGAGCTTTCCTTGTGTTCCTTGCAGGCCAAGCCCACGTGCTCAGGACGTGGTTTTCTGGCAGACAACAGGCAGCAGCAGTAGTTTCTGTCCAGTTGTCTCAGCTTTGCCAGAAGAACAACACAGGTCCCAGAGCAAATGCAGCCTGTGTACAATTAGAGAAATGCGGTGCCAAATAATTGAAGATGAGTTCAAGTTAAATCTGTCATGGTTTAAATCTGTGTTTCATCTTTAGCTTTGTATTTCTTGTCTTGAATGTTTAATTTTTCCTCTGACACAGTCCTAATATGGGGGTGGGGTTGGGTTCTGCATACATGTATGTAAATAATATTCACGGATACACATTTTGAACAGTGCCTTTTGTTCAGAAGCAGAGTGGGGTCCTCATTACTGTTACAAATGTCACATTATTCAGCAGTTTGGCAGTTCCCCAGAAATGCACTTTATTTCTCCAGCTCTTGAGCCATTTTTAAAAATAGTATTTCCACATGGATCTTTAGGATGTTCAGGTGTAATTTGCTCTGGTGCAGTATCCATATAAACTGGGCATCCTGGTGCTTCCCCTAGAATAAGTCAGGCTKGTGATGGAGCTGATTACTTCTAGAGGTTTAATTATAATCCCAGATTTTATTCAGATAAGGATGTTATCCTCTCCCCATTCCCTGCTCCTTTTCTTTTGATCTCCACAGAATCACTGAMTGGTTGGTGTTGGAAGGGCTCTCTGGGGAACATCCGGTCTCCCCCTGCACTAACCTCTCTGATTAATTTTTTATTCCACCTGGGATGGCTTACAGACCCAGAAAGAAGCAGTAGCATTGAGTACATTATAAGCTTCACTGTCTCTTCKGATCCTATTTATTCTCACTGCTTTGCTCCCTTCATTTTCTAATCACCATTTCTTGTTTTATGGGTTATKTTTTTYTYTTCCTTTTTTCCTTTYYKKTTTYCCCCCATGTCATGATTTCTTCCATATATTTTGACACTCATCTTAAGCTACTCATTTTTCCCAAGTATTCAAGTTGCTGTGTTGGAGGTCAGCATCTCATCCATGCTTTTTTCCACCCTTCAAGAGATGCAGTTTTGAGTTCCCTGTGTCCATGTTGGAACCTTTGACAGCCACTCTCATACTGCCACCAGAGCTTGTCCAGGCAAGATCCCCAGTTGTGGATTCTGCTGCTCACCTGGCTGTTCTACTCAAGCTTTTGTTGCTGCATTAATAGGCATCTCCTCAGTCTCCTGAAGCCAGCATGAAGTGGCACTACATTTTTCTTTTTATAAGAAAAAGAGTATTTTCTTTATTTCTTTTTTTTTTTATAAAAATGCAGTATGAACACATAAAGTTGTGTGACCTTTGTGGTAACATAAAAGGATGTAGAAATCATTGTGTCTGTTTCTCTTCTCTTTTCCTCTCTTTCTCCTGTCTTTTCAGTCTTCTCTGAACTGACCTTCATAAMTGAAACTTCAGCTGCTTGGTGTAAAGTCTCCTTTGAAGAAGGCTCCTGTGCCTTTCTCAGGGTCTGTAGCCAGAAGGCCAATAGTGCTGCAAGTTCTGGAGGAACCAGGAGTTTCACCTCCACAAGTGCAACAGAGAAGTAGTAACTGAATAGCAGAGACCACTGAGTGATGCACTTTGTGTGCCAAGAATACAAGAACAAAGCACACTCTTGCCCAAAAGATATCACTGCTACCCACCTGTAAAACCTTGGGCAGGCCTTTTCTTTYCTAGGGAGGGGAGGTGAGGAGCAGGAGGTGATGAGCTGCAGTGATGTCAGCAGCTTCCCAGCATGCCCATGTTCCCAGTGGGCTGGGTCTGTTCTCYCTGCACAGAGGAGACAAACACTTCTGGAGCTGCCATGAGCTCACCACTGCTCAGGGCTCCCTCCCTTCAGGGACACTGTGCTCTCTAACCATTGTCATYATTATTTTTTAGACTTGAACTGCAAGCTGGTTGTACAATAACTCTAATGCCTGGCCAGTTTAAGAAGCCCAGCAACATGACATTAAGTAGTAATTGCATGGGATTAAATGGGAAAATTATTTTCTGGAACACAATACCAAAGAAGGGGTTTTATGTGAATGGGAAYGTACATAAAAGGTACTCAGTGAATAGTCAGGCTGTTTTTTTTTGCCAGGATTTTTTATAACCTTACAGCTGCCAAGCTATGAAAGATTTCTGTCCTGCTCTTTGCTGCATTAGAGCTTCCTGCATCCAGATATTCCTTCACAGAGAAGCTGGCAGCAGTTACACCARCCTTTCATCAGCAGCACAGGAAGAGCTCAGACTCAGCTGCTCTCAATGCTGAGAGTTTAATCCCAAGTGAGGGGAAGAGACAAACCCTGTATAAACACTAATGAACAAAACAGATAAAAAACTGCTACTTTTTTTTTCTCCCAGAAGCAGCAGTGCTTTCTGAAAGTGCAAGAAATGAACTTGCAACTGCATGGAGTCTCACAAACTTCCTCTCTAGGTGCCTTTTTWTTTTAGCAAATACAGAGCTGTTAGAAAAACAACAAGGTCCCATTGCTTGATCTGTCTCTGAAGTGACCCTGAAACACACAGCTTGAGGAAAAGAGGTGCAGAACAACAAGTGTGATGTGCAGTGGAACATTTGACGGTCCTTGGAGGGGCCGGGGTACATTCTGAAGCATGCTTTTGAGTTTTCAGAGTAATCTTCAGCTTGCAGGATGTTTGTCTCAAAGACTTGAAGCCTGGAGAAGTACATAGGTAGGTAGGTGTCATTATTTCTGGTACAGACCGGCTCTGCAGTGTTTGTATTGTGGGAGGAGAGATGTATTTTTAAAATTCTACGATAACATCAAATGGTTGAGTTAGTGGCATTAAATGGTCAGAAGAGGTACCCACTCACTTTTATAATTCAGTAGACAGTCACAGGTAATATCCAGAGTAGCTCAAGGAGTCTGTATATTTCATCTGTCAGAAGAGGAAATGAGCTGCACACAAGGAGAGCAGAGGAACAGCATCAAAACCCTGCAATTTTTGGGCTCTTGTATTACACAGGGCTGTTGCAAGCTACCAAGGAGGTTTGGCATTAAAATCCATGTCAGGGCTGTGATGGGAGACAGAAAASAACAAACCCAAAGACCAAGGTGCAGTACCAAGGTGCAGTGCCAGGGTCTGCCTGCCTTCCCTACCTGTATCTTCCAGCTAGTGGAGGGTGTGGCATCCAAAACTGTCATCCCTCAAACCTTCATTCTTAAAAGCTGGCCCATTATTTTATAAATGTTCATTTTACATAAAATCTTCCTTGGGCCTCTTCAGCCTCGGAGTGCCTCTAGAATGAGGAATGATGTTTAACTGGAGAGCAATTGCCCCACTTCAGGTCAGATTTTTTCCCCTTTACTAGTATCATCAATAATGTACTGAAGTCAAGTGGCTTTGTGTGAATCAAAAGGTGCCTTTTCTTTTTTTTTAATGTGCCTTGAACTGTGCTCCTCCTGCACAAGGGGATGCTGACAAGCATCCAGGAGAGCTGGACAGGCTGGACTGACTCCCACCATGAGGATGGGGAAGGTGGGAATACAGTTCCTGTCCTCTAGGTCTGAGGAGCAGGCAGCAGGAGGCTGCTGTCATCTACCAGTGATGCAGGGCTTGGTTTGAACAAGTAACTGATCTGGGAACCAGATTTTAAAGTAAACAACTGATATTTCMCTAGCTTCTCTGGATCAGACCCAAACGAGAAAATTGAAATAGAAAGTTGAAATGCTCAGACCGATCTTTCTGTCTCTTCAGCAGCGTACCTGGCACAGGAGCAGAGATCCCCTGGCACAGCAGCACCTGGGATCGAGGTCTCCTTGGTGTGTTCCTGCCATGGAACAACTCCTGTTTCACCCTGAGCTCAGGCTCATGTCCAACCCTCGCGCCCACCGAGGGCTGAGGAGAGACAGCAGGAGCCTCCCCTGGCACAAATTGCCATAAAGCTGATAATAACAGACCACAAAGGCTCTTCGTTCCTCTTATCACTTCTGACAGGAGCACTGTGCAAAGGCAGAGCACAGGAGTTTGAGATCAAAGGGGTCTCTGCTGTGCTGCATCACCTTACAGATCTGAAATTTGCCTCTTTACCTCCTCTCACTGCTCCAGTGGGATGCATTATTTAATCCTTTCCTAAGAGATCACCAGGTTTAGTGTCGGTCTGTTCTCCCTGCTGCTGGTCATCCTTGCAACTCAGCTATCACACACCTGCCTTTAGCCACMAAAAGGAAGATGTTTTTTCAACAGGAGAACAAGAAAAAAATGTCCTGTATAGGTGGTGATTTCTTTTTAATCCAAGAAAACATGGAACTGTCTCAATTATGTTCCACAAATGCAAGTGAGGTAGATTCACAAAGCAAGTCTAGGCTTTGTTCTTGGGGGTGGGGAGGGAATAAATATTGTGATAGGAAGGAGGAAGTCCTCTCTACTCTCAGGAGTTGTCAAGTTCTGATAACTCCACTTCCCTTCAAAGAGTCCTTACCACTTTTAGCACATAGGAAGAAAATACCACGCTGAGGATGAGATACAGGGAATGAGCTCTCTCCACTTTATGAAAATGAGAAAAACCTGCAGAGAGGCTCTGTGAGCAATAAACAAATCYGGATGGGGTGAACACCAACAAAATAGGGCAGGTGTTACCAGCYAACAGGCCCATGCAGAAGTGAGCTCTGTACACTATTCCAGCTCAGTTTCTTAGAACCCAGTGAACCAGGAACAATGCATAGACGTAAGATAAATATAGTCCCATACTAAAAATGTCACATCCTCTCTAACCTCACCACCCAGTCCTAATGGATGAAAACAATATACTCCAGCTTTTAGCATCCTGGTCAGGCAATGACTGCTTTCCCCAAAGCACAGGCTGAGAATAAAGGCTTCTTATTTAATTATACCACGAAATTATTTCACTGGGATTGAACTGCTTAGTTGCCCCCTAAACATAAGCAAGCTCTTTTGATACATGTATTTGARGGTTGACTGACCTTTTAGATGAGCAATTAATTAATAATTATGGGAGTCTTATCATTCAAGTGTAATGATGATTCTTTTCTGAGGTACAGGTGATCTCCAGGAACCCATGGTAGCAGCAAATAAAGAAATCCATRGAGCTGAAATTTACCGAGGCAAATGTATTGATTACCTTTGCAGGAAGCTACATCTGCCTTCAGATGCACCAYCTGGGAGAAAATAATACATTTATTTTCAGTGCTGTGTGAGTGAGAATGTCAGTGTTCCAGTTTGGAATTAGAAGTTAAAAAATCCTTGTAATGKAATGCTCAGTCTCCCCTGCTGTCCTGGCCAAAAGCATCCCTGAGCATTGACAAGGCAGAGCTTTGTCTCCAGGAGGAGAGGCTGGACAGAGCAGCCCAGGCTCACCATAATGTGTAATTCAGCAGCCCGGCTACTTTGGGTACCGCAAGCTAATTGGGTGAAAACAGCAACCAGTTTCCAGTCAAGGCAGTAGAACAGCAGGACTGGAGTCTCTTTTTGGAGCTGATCAACCCCCAGTACCGCATTTGTAAATGGTGTTAGGTTTCTCCATGGTCCCGTCACCTTCCACATTCACCAATGCAGCAGCTGAAAGTCCAGGAGTGTAGGGCAGCGCTCTGATACTGTCTGGTTTAAGTGAAAATGCGTTTCCTTTAGTTGTTTTCCCGTTGTGAAACTTTGTATTTTGAGCTATGTTCTAAAGGTATTTCAATTAAGTGGGAAAATAAATGCCATTTTTATTATTTTGTRGAGTTGGAGATAAAAACAAATCTATGGGATTTGTTACCTGTCCTATTACTCTCTAACACAGCTGCCCCGCTGGAAAGCTGGAACCAGAGACTTCCAGAAGTCMCTAAACAATTAATTCCTGGCCCTTTTCTATCCATCAGCAGCAGACTTTATTCTTTCAACTCTAAGATTATAAATRCTGAGTTATTTGAGGCTGTCTGAGCACTGATTTGGGTTTCCAATGAGAGCTGTCACGGCTGAAAGCTTAGAGCTGTGCTTGCTTGGCAACACCCCACTCTATTTTCAGAATTATSTTGTCAGAGCTGTTTACAATCCAGAGCAAATTACTGACTCAAAGAGGTGCAAATCCACCCAGCRCTCCGGAAAAGCGATTTCACACACCTGGAAATAAACACCATTACTTCAGATTTATTCCATGCTGCACAAAAAAAAAATCATTTGGCCCAATGAAAAGTAAAATAAGAAAAGAAAAGTAGGAAGCAAGCTACACCATCAGCRGCAGCACTGGCAGAAATACACAGGGAAAATAACACTTCAAAGCTGCTCAGCTGCCTGTGGCTCTGCTGTTCCTTGCGAATAACTGCAAGTTTTCCCTTTACTTTAGGTGCTGTCATTTATCATCTTTGTCTGCTATATTTCATCTCTATCATCTTCTTTCATGATGGCACCACTCCTAGAGTTTCTGGTGGCACTGTTTCTTTTTTTTGCCTACGCCTCCCAGCTAAATGAGAAGTTTAAAGGAGTCTACTGGCCTTTGGCGGTAAGTGAGATATGCATCAGAAACTTTSATGTTTCATTGTGCAGTGTAAGGGGAGCAAAGGGGGCTGGGCAGGAGTTCAGGGTGGCTGTAGCAACATCACTGCCTTATTAGAAATTTGTCCATGTTGCCTCTCCTTCAGAAGGTCCCAGAGCACTCTAAACTCTGCTCTGCTCTTCACTGCAGCTTTTTTGGTGCTGACACAAAGCATGACTTTATCAAAGCACAGAATTTATGCCCAATTCCARGCAAATGCCTTAGGGGCAGCGTCAGCCCAAGTCAGGCTCACTGCTGGGGACTCCTTATTGCTCYCCTTGCACMGGGGGAACAGRTGTGTTGGTAATGATGGAAAGACTRTCAGACTGTGATTMAATTCTCGGGTAGAGTTACACCCACAAAGTGAGCTGCTCTGGGAAGGGCCAGCTCCGGCCACTTTGTTTCCACACAGGAGCCCAGTGGCTGCTGGGGCTGCAGGAAAGCCCTGGCCACTGGATGTCCCTGCAGCTTCAAATATCACTGCAAAGGGATCAGCTGCCTTGCAGTACAAATACTTCAAAAACCCCGCTGATCTTATCAGTCTGGATTCTCTTTTGGTACTGTCAATAGTTCATTGCAGTGAGGTTTGAATTAGAGCTCTCAATATATAAAAATAACTTCAGCAAGGCCACTGGTGGATAAAACAGTTTCAGTGACTATGGCTATGGCTGTCAGTTTTCAGCTGGTAATCTTAGTTCCATCATTTTCCCATTTTCTATGTGCATCTGGCTCCAGAATTAAGACAAAAAACACTTGTGTGTTTATTATGGCCATTACCATAACATACTGCAGGCACAGAATGCAGATTACTGACCTTGTCCTGACTTCAGAGGAGTCACATTTCTTGCAGCATTTGTGGTTTGAGACAGGATCTCACTCCTCCCTCTGTTCTGGAAAGGCAGAAGAGCTCATTGTGAGCAGAGCTGAGGGTATTGCAGCCCCCGTGATTTGCACGTGCCCTGGAAACAGCAGCTCTGTGTTTAATCCTCCCTGCAGAGACATAGCCAGTGATCACAGTGGACACTGCTCCTGGGGCAGGCTGATGGAGCTGCAGGTGGCCACGGGAAGTACAAATCATTGCAACACTGAACCAAGGGTGTGGTCCTGAGTGAGGAGTTCYTGCAGACAGGTCTCCATGGAGATGGTCACACAGAGCTGCATCCACAGCGAGACAAGCACCCGTTCTCATGGCAGCTGGCACCTCCTGAGCCTCTGGGGCATGGGATTTCTGCTTGAACATGAGGCTTTTAAAGGCATTTCAAACGATTTTTCYATTAAAGCCCTTGCTGTGCTCCAAGGCMAATGTCCCAGGACTGCTCTTCCCARGCTAAAGGAAGGTCTRCCTGACACAGCAGGGGAAAAGCAGCATTTATCCCAGTATCTTTAAGAGCAGAAGTTTATGCCAAGGTTGGGGTTTTCTGTTTAGAAATACTACCCAGAGGAGCAGTTTCTCCTCTGCAGCAAACCAGGCTGTGGTCACATGCCAGCAAGGCCATTGATGGAACACCAGAGGGGTTGAGGGTTCGTTTCCAAAATGGTTTTCAGAGGAAGTCCTTGACCGATCTGAGAATGCACTGTTGCTTCTTCTGCAGGATTTCTTGCGCTGTGTCACTGCTGCCATTATTTACTTCGCCATTTCCATTGCTGCTGTCGCAAAATACAACGATGCAGCATCGAAAGCAGGAGGGGTGAGTAGGCATGAGCTGGCTAGTGAAGTGTTGTGGTGAATTGAGTGTGGATGTGCTTTAGAAACAGTTCCAATATCACCCCACTACGAGTAATRGAAKTTTGCTTARTYAACCAAGAATTAATTTGCCTGAAGSCATGGTCAGTTATTCAGAAAAAAACATGTTTTGAASCAATTAATAGTTTTTTCACCCTAACAGTGCTACTCAGTGTTAATTGTACCCCTTAGGGAAGGCACCTATTCTGCTTTTTCATTTTACCTGCTGCTTCTGCAAAATGTCAACATCCTTGAATAGAGGGAAGAGTAATAACAATAACAATAATAATAAACAAACCAAACCTGTAACTGCTAGGGCCAGTCTAAGTTTTAAAAATTCACCCTTCTGCCTCTCCTGCTCAGTTTTACTTGGATGAGTTGAAACAAGAGCAGTGTCATTTTACCCTCCAGTGCAAGGACTGCCCAGGAGAGAGCATTCACCATCAGCATTTTGTGGTCAGAAATACAATACAGCCCCTGCATCTGCAACTTGATTCTAAGCATCAATAATGGATGCAACATAAATAAAATTTGCATAACAATTTTTAAGCTTGAGAAGAACAAAAGGAAGGGCCAGCAGCCCTTCCCAAACCATCCCACAGTACAAACCCAAACCTGGTTTAACCTTTGACCCTGCAGTTGGGCAGGGAGCAATGGAGTGTGTTCAGCCCAGGTTCCCAGCCTGTGCTTGGCACAATTCTGCTGCTCTGACACTGAAGGGGGAACTCCAGAATCATCTGAATCTCAATTTAGATCACTCAGCAATAGACACTTTTTGCAAATGAGTGAAAAATTATTTCCATAGAAAAGGAGGTGATTGATSGGTGTCAGGGGTGCCCTGGGACAGTGGAGGTGCAGGAGCTGCTCTCCTGGAGCTCCCAGCAGTGCTGATGCTCAGTAGGTGCATTGCACCCGAGAGGCTGCAGCCAGGGGGAGGGATAAGGACACATCTGCTCACATCTGCTCAGGCTCTCAAATCAGCTGCAATTCAGTTGATGCCAGTGTGTCACACGCCACTTTCCTCCCCTGCCTTTTTGGAAAGGCACAGCCTGAAAAAAACCACAGTTTTTGTGTCGGTTTGGTTTGCTTGGGTTTGTCACTGGCACATGGGGCCTGTTGTTAAAAACAGCTTTATTTTGTCCTGCAGGTGTTTGGGTTTGTGGCCACCATCGTGTTTGCCATTGATTGCTACATAACCTTCAATGAGCTGATGACATTTCTCAAGCACAGCAGCCCTGCAACCCCGGAAAGGCCCAAGACAGAAGGTGGGTGAAATTCCCTGCTTGTTCCTCAAGCCTGCAGTGGGTGATTTCCTGCTCCAGTTTACCCTTGGCAGGGGTGCAAGAGCTCTTGCTCAGTAAGAGCAGTTTCAATTCTYGGCTGCCTTGGGTTTGTGTTCCACMGCTCTGCTCAGTTAGGAAGCTGCAACTGGCATTCCAGTGATTTRTAAAGAAAACCTGCAAGCCAGGAATGTGAAGTTTTTCAGAGTTTCAYAACATCTAATTTTTAAAGGCCCCAAATCCAATTATAGAAATTATTGTGCAGCACAGATGTTTTTTCCCCATTGAATGTTTTACTGTGAAACCAAGCCAACATCTGCCGTTTTTTTCTTGGTAACTTATAATTAACATCCATTAATCCACAGCCTTTTMTGTCGAAATAATGCTTTTCTCTTTATCATCTCCTTATCTTGATTGCCTCTTATGATGAACTTTGACCATCTGTGGGCAAATGGCCTTGAAATGCAAGGGTCAAACACCATAAAATTGACAGGATTGTTGCCAGTTTTTTTTTCTATTGCAGTCTACTTCAGATCAGACACATCCACTTAGACAAAGATGAAGATAAAAAAAAAGGGTGTTCAAATCCAGTCCAGATCAGGAMAGGGGTAGCTGTTTTGCAGTTCCCAGGAGCCCAAATCAGGCATCATGTCCCTGTGACACTCCTTATTGCATCCACATTAAAAACACTGCTCCACATTAAAAACAAACAAAGAAATATCCCAAACTTATTAAAACACCCCAGTTAAACCCCCCTCTAAACCAAATGCCCGAGATGTGTGTGGAATCCTGGAAGGTGAACAGCAACATTGACAGTCTCTTTGGGGGATTTTAGTAGACTGTTCAGTGTTTTGCAAGCTTTGGGCTGAAAAAGAGAGACAAAGGAAARTAGAATTCGAGGAACAGGAAAAAAAAACCTAAAAATTGAGCTAACCTCAGAAGATGATCACGTGACAAGGGTGCAAAATACTACTTAGATCTAATTTCCCTGGAGATGGAGGCAGAAATACATGAATTCACAGATGTGCACTCACACAGCTTGGTGTTGGTGTTTGTGACTGTGCAAAGAGGCCTCTGCTCTGTTTCTGACCTGCTGAGGCCAGAAACATGGACCTCTGTGGATCTGTTGGGATTTCTCAGCATCTCAGAGCTTCTGGCTCTCAGAGGCATTGAGCTGCAGAGCACACAGCAGTCCCAGAGCAGCAAGGATGCCAGCAGGGCTCCTGTGGAGCTCCTGGAGCCTCTCAGCAGCATTTCCYAACTCCTTCCAACACCAAGTCCCATCACCTTAGCAAGAGCTGTCATTTCACAGATGTGTTCACTCCCAAAGCTGCTGTGTCCTGTGAAGCACACCCAGTTGGGGTGGGAATTTCCAGTTTGCATTTTCACTTTTGTTTCTTGTTTTGCCCTTCAGATGAGGACTCTGACTCTGACGCAAACTGAGGAACCAAACACCAACCAAGTGTGAAGGGAAGATGATGGAGCACTTTCCTCTTTGCTGAATGCACTGCCAGTTGAAATATCCCCTCGTTTCAGCCTCCTTCCACCTCACTGTTTATGGAATCACCAGAGCACAGACAGGGCAGTGATGTGGAAAAGGAGACTATTCCAGTGCCATTAAACACTCTGCAGAACTACAGATGCTACAGTAGTTCCTGTCCAAACAACACAGCTCAGTTCTCTGCTGTGCCTCCCCACTCAGCACAGCTGTGTCCTGAGTAAATGGGAGCAGCATTTTTGACATTTATACAGAGCTTTTAATGTGCTTTAATTCCAAATCTTTAATWCTTAGAGCTTTTATTCTTCTTGACATGCCAAAGAGAGGTTTGTATGCCTCTACTTGTATTTTTCTTGATAACTAACAGTATTTCTTTATCTGAACTCTGAATACCACACTCCCGAGCACTGAAGGCATGGATTACAGTCAACAGGTTGGTTTCAATGCTTTTATCTCTCCTGCCTATCTGTGACAAGGAAAAGTGACAACTGGAAATCTRCAGCAAGGGCAAACCTCAGAGTATAGTGGTGCTGCAGGGCAGCTGGCTCATCAAACATCCAGTATCCCTGGTTTTCAGCTGCTTTCAGGTCTGGAGTCACATCCCATTTGCTGCARTTCCAGCACAGGATGGTGGAACAGGTGAGGCAGCTCTGGGCAGTCCCTGCGTGTGTTTGCACAGCCAGGGAAGGCAGCAGGAGCTGCCTGGGGAAGCTGCAGTGTTTGTGTGCCAGGCACCTCTGCCTCATGCCCTGCTGAGGCCACTGGGGCTGGATTTGGGCCACTGGCAACTGGCCCTGCCACACTGCAGGTGCCCAGGCTCCTGGAGGGCAGTGCATCCTCCCCACTGTGAAAGAGCAACCCCCAAATGCAATGAATTCATCTCCACAGCCCCCTTTTTTCAGTGGGTGTGGGGTGGGTTGGGGTGGTTTACCCCCCTGAAAGGATGTGATTTATCCTGGGGTGGTGAATTCCAGAGGAAGAACCTTCTGAATGTACAAGCTGTTCTCACAAGTAGCACAACCTACCCTGAAATACCCATGTCCATTTACAAACCCTTGGGAATGCTTGAGAAGAGCGTGGCATCCTCCTTACAGATGGCATCAGACAGGTCTGTGGTAAAAAAAAGCCTATGTAGATTCTTTAAAAATGAATACAGTACCAGAAGAGGTGTAATTAAAATGAGAGCAGATGGTCCTGACRGAGCAAGTGACAAGCAGGGATGAAATGATCAAAGCAGATTTCCTTTGGAATAGAATCAGCACCTGGATTCCAGTTCCCAGCTGGCAGCAGCACAGGGAGCAGGTTCTGCCAAGGTGCTGCTCAGGCTCCCCCAGGCAGCTCCTCCATCTCCTGCTTCCTGCCCACTGACAGAATGAAAGCTTCTAAATGTGACCAATAATCCTTGAATTGTGAGGACCTCTCTGGATCTTTTCCTGTACAAAATCCTGCGTTTATTTCCCTTCTGTTGTCATATTTTACTGGCATACACTGTGATGTTCAGGGGACTTGGGCTAATTTTTATACTCGTTTTGTATTTCTCTTTTTTTTAAGTAAAATTTGTACTGCATGTCTATATTTAGAAACCATGCTGGATTAAACCTCTTTTAATAGGAGTGTTGGGTGTCTTTACTTACTTGAAGACCTGATTGTGCTGCATTGCCTCTGCCCAGCCATGGGGAGCAGCTATAGGACAAACATCTTCCTTAGGACRTGAGATGAAGGAATTTAACCAAGAATTAGTTCTGAAATAGTGAGCAGATATTGGAGACACAGTGCTCCCTCTTGGCAACCTGTAGAGTTGTGTAACACTGTAAAGAAATTGGAGTTCACCCTTCACACAGCCCCAAAATACACTGAGGTTTTCTGGTCATTTTTTCCAAGTTGGATTAAAGTAAACAGAGGCAGCAAACCAAACAGTTCAWGAGTTGTTTCAGGACTGCTTTAGCACTTGTAGTGAGGTTCCTGCCCAGAGAATTTCCTTACTGTTGTTAAGTACTTGATGACTTCGTTTRTTCCTATGCCATTTGCTCCCAGGGTCAAGCACTTCTGTAAGATCCTGGCCTTTTATTGAAAAAGATCTGTTCCCACGACTGAAATAAAACACAGTTCTGTATTTTAGGAATATAATTTCAGAAAGTTCAAATAATTAATAGTTAATTTAAAGCCAGTTTTGGTTGGGCAGTAGGGGGTTGACTCAGTCTTTTGTCCATTTTCTGCCAGAAATACTGCACTAAGTTCAGGGCCTGGGGCAGGTGGAGGAAAAGTCAGCTTGGCTTTTTGACTTTTATGTTTGCTTGTTTTTCCTTGACTGAGAAGACCAAAAGGGTSCTGAGAGTGCTGATTTCTCTGCAATTCAGGTTTCAGGAGACMAACACAACACTGCACCTGCACTGTGGAGCCCTTAATAAGTCCTGATTTCAGTGGCCTCGTCAAACACCTCTTTCAAATCACAACTCTCACAGAGGAGCCAAAACCCTCAGAGCCCAATCCCTGCCCTTGCTGCAGCTCCAGCACAGCCCCTGAATTCCTGGGCTTGCTGAGCAGCACCTGCAGGAGATGGAGASAGCTCCCAACCTGAGTGTGGGTAAATCCATAGAGGAACAATGCCAGAGGCTCCATGTTCCAGCTCCAATGCCATGAGCTCAACACCGACTCCAAGCCACAGAGAGGAAGGGAAGTGGCACCTCAGGTGACTTCACACAGCTCTCACCTGCCTGAAGGGCTCTCTCCCTAACAAAAACTTTCTGCATTTATCTTGACTTGTTCAGGCATGTGCAGTGATTTTTGGAAGAGTGATGCTAAGGAATTCAAGAGACCCTTCCACAGAATTCAAATACCTTTCCACGGAATTCAATGACTTTTCCAAGGAATTCAAAGACCTTTCCAAGGAATTCAAATACTTTCCGTGGAATTCAATGACCTTTCCAAGGAATTCAAAGATCTATCTTTCCAAGCAGCTTTTTCAGATTCTGACTGAAGAAAGAGGCTCTGTTGTCCTTTGAACACTGGCCATTACTCCACCTCACTGTGCTTTTCCCTTGATACTGTTCAAAGCTCTCCCAGTCTTAAATTTCCATCTGACAGAGTCACTKGCAGGATACCAAGGAAAAGCAGAGGATTTCAGCTGCTGGGGTGGTTGAGAACAGCCTGGAGTGTTGGAAGGCAGAATACAGCTGGATGCTCAGAGAGCACCTGGTTCCATTCATTGTCCTGCTGAGGATGTTCACCGGGCCCATTTCTGAWCAGAAATATTCTCATTGCCCTTAAAGAGCAAATGCCAGATGTGTCAGCACAGGCACAGCAGCTCCACCTGGCCATCCTTCAATCCTTCCAGGGTGGATACATCAAGGAAGCAGAAGAAATTTAGGTAAGCACTGAGAATGTGAATGTTGTCACAAGATGYTTGAGACACCTTTTTGCATGGAGCATTGGCTTAGAAGTCAGCATCTTTAAAAGTCACCATTTAAATAAACAGGAATGCATCAAAAAATTCCCACTGTGACACAGATCCCTCYTTTACTGGAAGAATTCACAGCACTCCGTGTTCTGTAAAACTTCCAGGTCAGAAAGTAAAACAATGSTAACCCAGAAAATTTAAGTGTGGTTTTRTTTGGGGTTTGGGRGAGGAGGAGTTTGGGTTGTTTTTTTTTTTTTTTTTYTTTCTTTGGGGTTGTTAAGGGTTTTTTTTTTAGTTGGTTGGTTGGGGTCTTTTGGGGGTTTTTTTTGGTGTTTTTGTTTGTGTGGTAATTTTAATGTTTGGCTGGTTGGTTTGGGGCTTTTTGTTTTTATAAATAAGTCAATTTTTGAATCTATTTACTCGAGGAGGAAAATAGAATTCCAACTTTAATTTTTGTCAGGATATACTTGTCCTTTTATTTGATGTACTCTGGACACAGCCCATCACATTTTGTGAGCCTGATCCATGAATAAATTAATTACAGTCTTCTCAGGAGACTGAAGGAAGATCCAGTATCTAAAAGTTAGACAAAATACATTATTTTTTTATAATTCTACAACTGATGAAGTTTCTCCTAACCCAGGAAAACACTCTGGGTAATGGCCCAGCGCTGCTGCCAGCCCCACACAAGCCAAATGAACAGGCCCCTTGTAAGAGCTCCCTCAGGAATCCTTCACTTGTGCCACCAGCTCTGCCCAGACCCCTCCCCAGTGCTCTGAGTGCAGCATCCAAACTCCCAAAGCTCTCCCCAAACTCATCCATCCCCTGTGCCTTTCCCCAGTTCTCACATGTGTGAACTCAGTGCTTTCCCCGCCTACCTAAAGCACCTGCAAACCAAAAACCCCACCAGCATCACTTGTAACCCAATGAGGCAGCAGAGGATTACCCCACTCACTGGGGCATTTCAGCCCCCAAATCCCTTCCCAATCCCAAAAGGAAAGCTGCAAACCCCAGGATGGGAGGATGGGACACTCCAGCCGTGGCAGTGCACCAGGAACACTCCCAGAGCAATTCCATCACAACCACCAGAGCAATGAGGCCATTCCATGTTCCTGCTGCTCCCTCTGACCTCTCATCAAGGACTTCCCATTAACTCCTGCAGCCAGGAGTGTCCCAGGAGCAGCCCCAGCCGGGCTGCCGGGGGTTGTTCAGCCCCCACTGCTCCCACACCACGGGCATTTGGAGCTGCCCTGGCTGCTTCTGATCCCAGGGGCTGCGCTGCCTCTCCCGGTGCTTTAACCCCAGCAGCCCCAGCCCCACACGGGACCTCTCCGGAAGAGGAGGCAGAGAATGGGGAGGGTAAAAGTGACAAAACTCCTGGGYTGAARCAAAGACAATTGAACAGGGAAYGCAAAAGCTGCACACAAGAAAGCAAAGCAAGGAATGAACTCCCTTCTTCCCRTGGGCAGCGGGGKGTTCAGCACCTCCAGGAGAGCAGGRCCCCATCCCGTGGAGCAGTGAGTCGGGAAGACAAACGYCATCACTCCAAACATCCCCCTTTCCTCCTCCTTCTCCCACTTCACACACTGATGTCATAAAGTCTGGAATATCCCTGTGGTCAGCTGCGGTCACCTGTCCTGGCTGTGTCTGCTCCCARCCYCTCCCAAGCGAGGCAGCACAAGGGGCAGACGAGGCCTCGGCTCTGGGTGAGCTCAGCCCTAACAAAAGCATCTCTGCATTATCAGCACATCCAGAACWGCCCCTGGGAAGGAAATTACCCCAGCATAGCGCACTGGTACAGATGAAGACAATGTTTTAGTACTTTAATATGTCCATTTATTAAACAGGAAGTCCTTCACAAATGATTCCGTTCTATATTGATTGGGCTAAGTGTTAGAAAACTACCATTTCTCCTACATACAAAAATACAGACTTTTACCACTATGAAGAATGATCAGAAGAGTACCGTGAAAACCCAGAGAGCTCAAATCTTCCAATACCAGAAAGAAAAGACAGAAAGACAACTAAATAAAAAAAAATTTACAAAAAGTATTGTGCCCATATACAAAAGACTGGAAAAGGAAAATTATATTTTAAACTGATAAATACACCATTTAAATTATGCTGCAACAGAAAGTATTTCAAAACCAAGACTGCTTTGTGTATTGCAAGACATTACAATTCTTCAGCTTGTGTTTTTCGATTAGCACAGACACCAACAGAAAGAACACAACATACTGAGACGGTTACTGGTGTAGAAACAAGCTGCAGGTTCTGTTTTCTTGTCGAGTACCTCGCCTTTGGGACTGGTCAGGCTTTACCAGGACTCCTTTGTCAGGCAGGGCTGAGGGAATTCCAGCTGCGGGCACGGCAGGAAGGCGCTCCCGGCTGGAGGCACCGCTGCAGCACCGGGCCYGGGCTCTGAGACCCGCAGAGCTCGGCAGGACAATGGAACCCTGCAGGGCTGGGACTGTCTGAGAGCCCCCGGCAATGCAGGGGATCAGCGGAGCCCGGGCTGCAGCCCCGAGCCGGGSAASGACAGCAGCCGGGTCCTGCACTGCWCAGGGGATGGATGCACCGAGCATTCTCCAGGACACAACACTGCAGCTTTTACTTCCAAAGCAAAGTCCCGAGGTGTGACACAGCAGCCTTGTGCCCATGTGATAAAAGCAACATTGCCTCCCCTCTGCTCGGCCCAAATGGAATTCTAACCTGGTATTTCCATGACATCTCTGAGCTGTCAGCAATTACAGCACCTGGAACCCAGAGGGGTGAAGTCTTTTGGTCAGGCTGGGTGCTCCCTCCTCAGAAGCTGCAAATCATGGATTGTGAGCTACAACTGGAATGTTTGGATTGGGCTGCAGAGTCTGTGTGGAGCACCCAGAGTCAGCCTGAGGACACAGACACCCTCCCCAGGCTCAGGGAAGGGAATCTGCAGCACCTTGCACCAGAAATGTGCTTCATTCACTCCAGGCTCAGGGGCAGCTGAGGCAGAGCAAAGGAGACACGATGGGTGATTGATTCCCCAGAGCAGATCAGTGCACACAGGGGAGGCAGGCAGTGACCACAGCAGCCAGAAACCTGGTGTGGTGGGGACAAAGCAACGAGGCCAGAGCTGCGTTAGTGACTCACATTACAAAAATAGTGTTTACTGGTTTAATAAATTTACATCTCTATTCCTGTGAATGACAAGTGTTTGTACCACACATGGAAGGC